CTATGCCTTTTTTTTCAGGTCCAGTGAATTTCACTCGATCGTAGCCGTGAATGTCTTCTTCTACCGAGATGAATTGCACGCATGGCGGCGGCGCCCGTACTGAGGGCGATGGCGCTGCCGCCACCACGGAGGTTGCCGAAATTACGAGACGTGTTGGAGCTGATACTGCTGCTGCTGCTGCTGAAACAACGGGTGATCATCAATCAGCAATCGCTGAGACGACACCTCAACAAGAAACAAGCCCAGCCGATAAAAGAACCACGGATTCTTCTGTAGCACCAGAAACCGATCTGACTGTTACACCTACTGCCGCTGATAATCAGCAACAGCAGCAGCAGACGCCGAGCTCCGGGAATAGCCGAAGTCAGAAATCGAAAAAGCGACAAAACCAGAAAACATTCAGCTTATTTGATATGTTCGATAATCATAAAGGTATCGGAAGTTGGGCGGATGCCGCTCTCACGCCACAATTCGAAAAGCAGCCATCAACGCTTTCCGCGCAACAGGTTTATTGGTTTTTCAGTCTTTTTTTGTGTGTGTGGAAATTACCGGGGAAATTGGGAAGTAGAACTGTTGTCGTGCGCCAAAGGTTCAGTTTGTTTTGGATATCCCATGCTAGTGGTTTTTTTCGAGTTCTGACTGTGTGGAAAATGAAATCAAGTTTAAGGTGTGCGGTATTTTTGTGTTTCTGTGCGGTACTTTTGTGCGCCCTCAATCACTAATTCTAACGTTGCCGAGATTACTTGATGTCTAATAGTATATGTGCATATATCCGAGGGACTGGCATGGATGTTGTGCGCGGCGCTGGGCTTTAAAAAGCATCCCCAGTTACACAAATAATCGGATCCCCACACTGATTGTGCGAGCGCTCTTAAAATTTTTGGTTTTTGGTTTTTCTGCTGTATTGTATTTATGTTTAAGAAACTTTTTAAATAGAACTTACCGACAAAACCAGGACCGCTCGGGCAGTCAGTGTGATTATCCCATATTAGTGGTTTTACCGGGGAACAGGGTTTCTAGGTCGTCCCATCCTAAACATATAATTTTTGTTTTTGAACTGTTAGCTGTCTACTTTAGCTGATTCATTGCTGTTGTTCCATAAAATTAGATAAAA